AAGCATTACACCAGTCGAGGGCTGAAACAATCAGAGAAAAGCATCAAACACGATGAGTTTAGGTGAGAACATTCGTGAGCTTGTAGGTACGATTCAGTAAGTTCGTAAGGGGGCCAACGATTGTACTGGTACGGCCAACTGTCAAGAATTCGATTACGTGAGTTCGTGAAATGAAACTTCATCTTTCAGAGTTACTCACTATGCCGGCGATGTCACTTATTCTGTCAACGGTTTCATGGATAAGAATAGAGATACCTTGTTCCAAGACCTTAAACGGCTATTATTCAACAGGTATGAAGAATATGAACAGGAGAGTAGAGTAGATATGAATACGAATAGGTTGTGCTATGCAGCAAAGGTTGTCGCCACGCGACCGCGCGCGTCACTGGCGCACATGTTTCACGACCTAATCATATTTACAGATCTCACAAAGATCTGAGAGTTTTCGAAAAAGCTTTAAAAGTCATTCTTTCTACAGTAAGAGCACTCTGCTGCATTCGCTGTTCCCTGATGGCTCGAAGTCGGTCACAGAAGTGAATCGTCGGCCTCCTACTGCTGGCTATCTATTCAAGGTAAGTTCCATTTGGTTTTCCGGATTCTCCAGGAGGCCTGACACACTGAGTGTGAGATGACCTCCCAAGGGCGAGTTCCGAAAAAGAGATGAAAAGCCGCAAAGTTGAAAATTCCGTTATAGAACTCGATGTCAACGTTGGTAGCTCAACTGGCCAGTAAGGAACCCCACTACATCCGCTGTATCAAGCCAAACGAGGAGAAGAGCAGCACTATTTTTGATGTGGAAAGGGTGGAACATCAGGTTCGCTTCTGCCATTTAATTCGGAAATTTGGGACCACCAAGTCCGGTTAAGGTCCGTTATCTTGGTCTACTCGAAAATGTGCGCGTTCGACGGGCTGGTTTTGTCTATCGATGTGGTTACGATCGTTTCATCAACAGGTGAATAGGGTCCTGAAGACTTTAACAAGTACTTTTGATGATTGTAGTACCAGTTTATACTTATAGATACAAGATGCTCTGTCCCGATACGTGGCCGAATCC